TCTAAGTAGTGGAATAGATGAATGGGGCCTTCTAAAGATTAAATCCCTGTGCACATCGAAAGGTTTTTCCGACAGGGTGGAAAGAAAACCTACAGACTGAGAACAAACATTTGGTAACATCTCAGACAAGAGTCTCATAACAAAAATTTACAAAATAATCTAGGGCCTCCACAAGAAAAATGCTCACAGCCAAATTACAAAATGAACAGAAGACATAAAAATAATTTTCACAGAAGAAGATACTCAAATGGCCAACAGACATATGAAGAAATGCTACAAATCACTGGAAAGAAGAGAGATGTAAATCAAAACCACAATGAGATACTATCTTATTCCAGTTAACAGTGGCAAAGTTTAACAGCAAGTAATAAATGTTGGAGAGGATGTGGTGAGATGGGAACTCATATATTGCTGGTGGGATTGTAAAATGGTACCATTTTGAAAGACATTTTGGTGCTTCCTCAAAAAGCTGAATCAAGGACCTCCTTAAAGTACTAAGGTGATCAGTTGATTTTTTGACTGTTATTTATTTTTTGACTGTTATTCCTATAGGCATTGATTGTGACTGAAAGTAAAATGGAAATCTTTGACAGTTTCAATCCTTTATCCATTTCTTATGATGTTTGTTGATCCAGATGTGAAAAGTTTTTTCTTTATATTGAGTTCCATACTGAAGGTTATAAATATTATTTTCATAATTAAAACCTTGAAAATAGTCACAATTTGAAAAATATGCTTACATACCCTCATAATTTTTATAAAGGTTTTAATAATTTTTGTAATGTACATTTATTGAAATATGAAGGGTAACATATAAAGCTATGCTTGTATAAAATTTCTGTAATATGCTATAATTTCTTTTTCATCTAAGACATCCTCATCCCAAACAAACTTGAGATTTCTTTCATATTTTTTTTTTCATATATACAGGTAGATCCTTTAGAAATAGAATCCAATTTAGCTGATGCTCCAGTGGGTTTAAAGCAGTTAATTGTAGAGATTGCCCATCTTTCTCCTGCAAAGCTACTTGTGGATTCAAACCAAATGCCTTTGAGTTGGCAGAGCAGCTCCTTACCAACGGAGAACCAGAGCTCCCCATTGTTGGTATGTGCCAGTGATGACTGACTCATTGTAACCCTATTCACAATAGCTTTGAACTCTGCCCTAAGCTGAGCCTATCTCACTGTCCCTGACACACCTACTTCTATTACCCAAGTTATTGTGTCAGTCCATCTCCTCCAGGAACTTCCTCTTCTATACTTTACTCTTCCAAGTAGGATGTCCTTCTGCAAGGACTGGTCCCTCCTGGGAGCATACCCAAAGTATATGAGATAATGCTACAAAATCCTTGCCTCTAAAGATCAACTTGGTTTCACCCTTTCCAGGACAGATTTGTTAGTTCTCTGGACAGTTCATGGTATGTTCAATACTTTCTCCAGCACCACAAGACAAAGGCTCCAGTTTTCCTTCTGTCATCCTTAGTCATTACCCACCTTTCTGATGTATAGCAAGTAACTGTGGAAATCATGGACTGGGTCAGGTGCATTTTAAGTCTCTAGACTGACATCATTGCTCTTTGGCACTCTGGAGGGGTCCCTGATAGAAGATTTTCCAAAAGCAATTTGTTTGTTTGTTATTTTTTTTATTTGCTGGCTGCTGATTCCAAGATTGTTGATTGTGTATCTAAGCAAACCAAAATTGTTAACAATCTCAATCTCTTCTCCAATCACCATGATGCTGTCAATTGGAGTTTTCTTGTTTTCTTGATGCTGAGCTTCCATCCATATTGAAGCCTATGGTTCTTGGCCTTCTGCAGCACGTGCTTCAGGTCCTCTTCAGTTTCAGCAAGCAAGCTTGTGTTATCTGTATGATGTTGTTGAGTATTCCTCTAACCCTGATGCCACATTCCTCCCGGTAAAGCCCACCCTAATTCTGGCTTATGTCATTATTATAACAATACTCGATAATCTTTCTTTGATGCAATTGGAAGACAGTGATCATTTTAAAGCCTGTTGCAAATACAATACCTGACACAAGTATGTGAACTTAAAACAAATCTTGGTCATTGTTGGCCAGATGGATATATTCACCAACATGTTTAAATAAAACATTATTTAAAGACTAGTATTAAGCAAAGAGCAATGATGGGCTGGAGACTAAGGTGCGCCTGATCCAGGCTATAGTCTTTGCAAATACGTGCTGTGCATCAGAGAGTTAGACAATGAATAGGGATGATAGAAAGAGAATTGATCCCTTTGAGCTGTGGTGCTGGAGAAGAGTGTTGAATAGACCATGGACTGCTAGGAGAACAAACAGGCTTGTCCAGGAGAGGGTGAAGCCAGAATGTTCCCTGGAGTCGAGGATTCTGAAGCTTCGTCTGACACACTTTGGGCATGTTGCAAAGAGGGAATGGTCCTGGGAGAGGGACATCATGTTTGGCAGAGTGGAGGGATGGCGTTCGAGAGGAAAGCCCTCAATGAGATGGATCGATTCTGTGAGTGGAGTGGTGGGAATGAGTGTGTTTGAGATGAAGAGGTTGGCACAGGATAGAATGGCATTTAGGGCTCTTGTACATAGGGTCAGTATGAATCTCAAGAAACTCAATGGCACATAACAACAATTAAGCAAAGATGTTGAGTCTTTGTCTCATACATTGGGCATGTTTCCTTTGAAAAAGATATCATCTTGAGAAAGATATAGCATCAGAAAAACAGATGAGGACGCTGGAAAATGGACTGACACAGTGACTGTAACAAGGAGATTGTGAGGATGATGCAGAATAGAGCAAGGTTTAGATCTGGTGTTCATAGGGTTGCTGTGAATCATCCTTGATTTGATGGCACCTAACAACCTGACAACTAGCGCAATAGGCAACATAATGATGGATTAAGAAAAGATTGACATTGTCAACAATTTCATCTTGCTTGGATCCACAAGTAATATCCTTGGTGCCAGCAATCAGGAGATCAGAGATATATAGCATTGGAAAACTCTGCTATGAAGGACTTCTCCAAAGTCCTGAAGAACAATGATGTCAGGTTAAAGACAAAGGTGCACCCGATTCAAGTGTTTCCAATCACTTGTTACGCAGCTGAGAGAAAGTACAGCCAAAGTGCTCCTTGGAGGCAAAGAAGGTGAAGCTTTGAATCACATACTTTGGGCATGTTGCTAGAAGAGGGACATTATGCTTGGAAAGATGAAGGGTCTCTGTAAGAGAGGAAGACTATCAGTGAGATGGATCGGTGCAGTATCTGCAGCAAGGGGCTCAAGTGTATAGGGAATCATAACAATGGTTCAGAATTAGGATAGGTTCAGGTTATCTTGTTCATAGGGTCACTATTAATAGTACTTGACTTGATGGCTTAGAAACAGAAGAGCAATTAAGTCCCTAAAATGTCAAATTAGTGGCTTGAGAAACTAGTGAAACTTTTTAAAAAATTGTTACATTTGTTTGCATGCAAAATTCTTATACATTGCCTTTCACACATTCCTTCATTCATATTTTGTTTCATATGATCATTCCCATAACTGTGTTTTATAAAATTAATCACTATTGATGTATGCTCACTATCACCCCATCTTTTACAGTCCCCAATAGATCTATGCTAATTCCTTCACCGCTCTCTCTACCCACTAAACTCTGCAACCTTGTGATTTCTCCCTACCTAACCTCAGGCCCCCTTCCCACCTCCACTTTCCCCTTTAGGATCCGCATCTTACTAGTTATCTTCCCCCACCCCAAATAATAGTCTTACACTGCATTTGTCCTTAGACTGAGTTAGATCATTCAGCATAATGTTCTCTAGCCTCCTCCATACTATATAGCATTTTATACAATCATTGCTCCTGAGTACTACATAGCATTCTACTGTGTGAATGCACCACAATTTCTCAATCCATTCATTTGTTGATAAGCATTTGGCTAGTTCCATTGTTGTGCTATTGTGAATAATGCTGCTATGAACATCAATGTACAAATCTCTGTTTGTGTTTGTGTTTCTGCTGGTGTTTCCTGAAAAAGCTGAACATAGACATTCTATATGAATCAGCTAGTCCACTGCTAGAAATATACCCCACATGCACTTTTTATATCCCTAATATGTAGATTCATAGGTAACTCTGGTGGCCTAAGATGTTGTGCTGCCAACCCAAAGGCAGGTGGTTTGAATCCACAGTTACTCCACTGGAGAAAGATGAACAATTTCCTCCTGTTGATTTATAACCTCTATAAACCCCCTGGAAGTGATGAGTCAGTTCTAATTCCATGTAAGTGAGCCAGTGACTAGAATTTCCTAAAATATTCTATTGGTGAATAGTTATAAACACTCAAACTATCTATCTACCAAATATTTTATTAAAGATAATTATTTGCCTCTTCTTTTTTCTACCTTCCTTGGTGTTTTGAGATGTGTCCATTAACAGAACTATAAGCCAGGTATAACTGGAGCCATGGAGAAATACAGCTACTTTATTTTTTCATTATACCAAATATACCTAAGTTCCCTGAATGAGTCTTAAAAGGATAAATATCCAAAACCCATTTCTATCAAGTCAATTTATAGAAACTTCATGTATTACAGATCTGAACTGCTCTGTAGTGTGTTCTTGGCTATATGGTGTATAGAGATAGATGGCCAGCACATTCCTATTGTTTGCCCCATGTATTAAATTGTCAGTCTTGAGGTAGCTAATTAAGTTAACCATTTGTACCACACAGGTACCCTCTGGATAAAGACCTCTAAAAACAATTTTATTGATCATATTGTTATATTATTTAGACAGTAAAACAATTAGTTCAACAGTTTACATACGTACAATTTAGTGACAATCATTCATTGTATTCTCTGAGTTTTGCAATCATTCTTATCTGTTTCTTAATTATTCCTACCCTGCAAACTTAGAGCCCCTTAAAATCCCCATCTGATCTTCAAGTTGGTTGTTGTTGGCAAGGACTTTCTTTTGAATGTCAGGAAAAATGATCCTAATAAATAATCACTTACCTTTGGACCAGGTAATCCAGGTAACCCAGGCTTTCCATGTGGCCCTGGTATGCCCTCAAAATAGAAAAGAAGTCAAATTACTCTTATTATAGATTTGAATGTAAATAACCACAGGACTTCTACTAAGATAAAGATTGCTCTTGTTGTTGTGTACCATGGAGTCAGAACCGACCCTAGCTGACCCTGCAGTGGGTTTTCAGAGGTAGTTAATGACACGGTAGGAGATTGCTCATCCTTCTCTCATGAAGCAACCAGAGCCATGACCACCTGCCTCCAGCACTGCAGTACAGCTTCTTGCCAGTAGGCCACGAGCACTACCAGATAAATATTATATCATTTTATTAAATGACTACCCCTTATCTCTACAAAGTTCCTTCTGAGAAACTTTCTTTCCTTATCTTTCTGAGATCTTAAAAGTTTCAGTCCTGGAAAAGGTAGCTAGCTAATTATAGAGTAAAATTGTGGTTTTTATCCTTTGCTTCAAAACACTACCCTCAGGGTTTTCCCTTCTTTTATTTACCCATCTTCAGCAGCAAACATATTGTTTAGTGCTACTTCTAAAAGCTATGTAGAAAGAAAGGACTGAAAATAACTCAGTAAGATTGTTTAGTTACTGCCCACTAAACATGTATTATGTATGCCTTTGTGTAGCTGGGATTTTGATGTTGGAGGCAATTTGACGCCACCTAACAATTGAGTGTATTTGAAAAACTTACTTCATTTTCCTTCATAAACTAAAAGTAGTTGCCATTGAATCTACTCTGACTCATGGTGATTTTGTGTGATCATAGGGTTTTCAATGGCTGATTTTCCAAAAGTAGATTGTCAGGCTTTTCTTTCCTTCAGAGTACCTCTGAATTGACTTGATCCAGCAGCTTTTATTGGTAAAATCAAATTGTTAATAATTTCTGCAACAACTACTTAAATCACCATTCTTCAAGACTCAATCTAATTTCATTACATTTTAAAATCCTCAGCTTCTCAGCATGAAGTGATTTCTCTTTCCTATTGATTTCTACAGGAATTAAAAACTTAATGTGATTAGTAAATTCTGACTTACAGTGATCCTGTAGAACAGAATATAACTGTCCCACCTGACTTTGTAGGCTGGAAAGGCTTCAAGGAAGCAGACTGCCCCATCTTTCTCTCATGGAATGGCTGGTGAATTTGAACCACCAACTTTTCAGTTAACAATGAAGTTCTTAATCATTGTACCTCCTTCTACAGAAATCACCGCATGTACAATCCACATGCTAGTTAATCATATATGGCCTTGGGATATTTCTTACAGTATTCTTATCTGTTATTTGAATATTTTACTTCTACAGACCACCAAGAAGACAAATAGGAAAGGGTGGAACCAAGTTTCCCCTTGAAGGTAAGGATTTTGAAGCTCCATCTCACATACTTTGGAAATGTGGCCACAAGTAACCTATCTTTGAAGAAGAATATCAGGCTCAGAAAGGTGGAGGGACAGTGCAGGAGAGTAAGACCCCGGATGAGACAGATTGACACAGTACCTGGGGCAAATGGGAGTAGGTGTGTTGGAGTCAATGAGACTGGCTCAGAAAAAGGCAGGCTTCAGAGTTATAAGTTGCAGGTGAGTTGATGGCACATAACAACAACAAAATGACATCATGCTATTTATTTCTAAGATTTTAAATTCCTTTAAAAGGAAGTGAATTTTATTATAACTGCAGTACTTAGTACATAAGAGCCACTCAATGAATGTTTTAATTTTATCTCAATTGACTACTAGGAATAGGATTCAATATTTTCTCCAATGTACTGAGTACCTCCTATATGCCACAAACTATGTTAATGCTTTATGTTCCTTATTTCTGAGGAAATTTGTGGTAATCAGTGCAAATGTTGGAGGGATATCTAGTAAGATTAAAATTAAAGTGAAAAAGCTTAATTTCATGATATATCTTGTTTTTCTTATTGCTGTTAAGTCAAGCATGACTCATATCAACCCTATGAATAAAAGACCTTGAAACCTTTCTATAACTATCATTGTTTCTCAAGATTTATGGAGTTTCCAGAGGCATGTCGTTTAGGAAGTGGATGCCATGGGGATTAATGGGTGAATTACTGATGTAGATGCAAGAGCAGTACTCTATATCCATTGCCATCAAGTCAATTCTAACTCATAATGATCCCGAAGGACAGAGTAGACAGACTGCCCCACAGGATTGAACTGGAAATCTTTATGGTACCAGGTTGTCATAGCTCTTTCTCCTTCCCCTCCCCCCATAATAGGTTCAAACTGCCAACTTTCAGTTGGCACTCAACTGCTAAATCATTGTACCATCAGGGATTCTTAAAGGACAATAGATATTAACTACTATGTTACAAAGGGCAGGAGTGGCATCCACTTCCTAAACAACATGCCTCTGGAAACTCTATGAACTTTGAGGAGTGTCAGTAGTTGTAGAGGGGCTTCAGGTCTTTTGTTCGTAGGATTACTATGAGTTGTACTCGACTCAAAGCCACTCAAAAACAACAATGGTGAGCAGTGGCGTAAGAGTAATCCAAGAAAACAATTGTAGGAATAAATTATACTAATGACATTTTAGATTTTTTTAAAATAAAAGATGGTTTGTTTGTATCCCATAAATCTAGGGAAGAAAAACAAAGTGTAAAGTTGCAAGATGATTTCAGTTAGATAACTGAATAAACATGGAATTAGGAACACAATGGAATAATTAGCCATGAGAAAAAATGCTGCTTCTTCCTTAAGAGAAGAGACATTGGACAGATAAGTGCACAAAAAAACAGAAATCAGGGAAGGAGAGTGTGGAACCATAAGGATAGAGAGAGTCAGGGCGAACGGTCATGGGATATAAACGGCCATAGCATTGGAGAAAGAATGAAAATTCTGCAACGTTGAAATCAGTCCTGCAGAAAAATAGGAGGAAGGGGATTGTTGAAGGGCTAGAGGAAAATGGGCATAGTTTAGAAGGGACTATGTGAGGAATGTAATAGGATATCAACTCTAAAGAAATAAATGTTAAATAGCTAAGGCCCTATACAAACATAGATTAAGGCAATATTGGCAAGAGTTTCATTGGAGTGGAAACAACTTAAGTAGTATTCTAAGCTGGTTTTTCCTTATTTAAAATATATTCCTTTGTGATGAAATAATAAAAAAGATGGATTAGGAAATTATAGAAATGGTTCTTTTATTTTGACTCTCTACACATAAACATTATTTCTTTTCCAGCTCGTTGAATAAATAATTTTGGTTGGTTTTAAAGAAAACCTCACCAAAAAATAACTTAATTTTTAATGTTTGAAAGAGTTTAATTCTAATACAGCAAGAAATCATTAAACACATGTAATGTGAGAGACTGCTACTGATCCTTAAAGCATCTTTTTTCCTCAAGGTCAATGCTCCCCCCCCTCTTTTTCCCCTCCTTGTCAAGAACTCCAATATTTTCCACTGTGTAATCCAATAATATACTATTTTAAGGCAACCTACTCCCCTTCATGACCCAAAATAAACAAAGCTCACCTTGGACAATCAACTACAGATGAAATCATTTTAAAGTAAGTATGATGTTACAAGTAGCACAAAAACAGTGACTAATCTATATACTTGATCATTTTTCTTGGGTAAGTTCACAGAAACTGCTTTAGATTGCTGTTTATAATCTAATAAATGAGACATGTGCTCCTAAGCCTCTCCTGAATTAGTAAAGACAGACAAAACTTGAGGATCCAGGCAGATTTCCAATGGGAACACATATTGTATAATACTAGAAAAAGCAATTGGAACATTACTATTCTAATAGCAAATGTGAAATGGAGTCCATTTACTCACCCGTGGACCTCTTTTTCCTGCTGGACCTGGAAAACCTGCTGGACCAGGTGGACCCTTGGAAAATAAATACCAGGACATTAGAGATATGATAGTATATATATTTTTTCTCACAAGTTGTAAAATAAGGTCTTTTACAGGGTACGTTCTCAGTAACCAGGTCCTAGCTGCTGCTGATTTTAAAATAACACAAATTCTCTCACCCTAATCAGCAGGGATGAGAGTTGAAGTTGGAATGTCCCCTTTAATCTGGCCAGAAATGGAAGCAGGAGATCTATGAGTTGTCCTTACAGCCAATATATCTGGTTTTCATAGTGACCATAGCTGGTAGTTTTGTGGGTAATTTCTACCTAAATTTACTTTTACTGCAGCAGGAGGCGTTCAATTTGGGGTTTGGAAACAATCAACCACAAGGTTTTCTGGTGTGTTTCTTTCAAACAGATTTGAAAACACTTGCCTTGAAAAATTAAAGCACTGGTTATTTTATATTCTTTTAAAAGAATTTTACCAAGGATATGTATGATGTATTAAGCTGTTATAGTGAGGATGATTTACTACCTCTGAAAACCTGAGAGTCAGCTATGGGTTTGTTCCAACTCAATGGTAAACAACAATAACTAATTATATATACTAGTGAAACTAAGTTATACAAAAAGCAGTACCTAAGAAGTAAATAATAGAGTTAAATGATCTGTAAAGCAAAGTATGGAATGAAAAATTGATCAACTTTAGTGTTCCAAATTCTTTACAGAGAGTTTTGGTGACCTAGTTCATAGGGAGTTACATTGCTAACCCAAAGGCCAGGCCCTTCTGGCATTCTGAATCCTCTCTGCTCTCTGCTGACAAAAGATGAGTAAGCTCCTTTCATGTGATTTACAGCCTTGAAAATTTTGTGAGTTGGTTTCATGAGAAAAATGGGTAAGAGAAAGAGAAAGATTCTTTAAATGTTACTTTATTTTCCAATTTAAATTTATTATTAGTTTCAGTAAAAATTTACAGAGACTTTGGATTTCCATTCATTCACTGTTGCACTTTTCTCTCTTCCCAACCCTCCCTCTTAGTACACTACCCTCTTGGAAAAATAAAATTCTTTCATTGTTTTACAAACCCTCCCCCAGGTCCACTCCACCATGTAGCCTTCACTCTACACTCCTGTCATGACAAAAATACCTAATCACATATCCCTTTTAAACAGTTTTCTCCCTCATCTATTTCAATGCAGTATACATTATTGAACTCATCTTCCTCAGTGTCTCCCCAACCCCAAGGTCAGTCCTGTTTTACAACAGTGGCACCATGCAGTATTTGTCCTTTTGTGACTGAGATAATTCACTCAGTATAATGTAATCCAGAGTCACCCATTTTGAATAATATTACATGAATTCCTTGTTTTTCAATGCAACATAGTATTCCATTGTGTTAATATACCACAGCTCTTCTATCTATTCATTTGTTGATGGGCACTGGGGTGATCTGGGGCGGGGAACTGTATAACAATGAAAGAACTTTTTTCCAAAACAAAAAAACAATCTGGGGGTTAGGGGGACAGGAAGGAAAATGTGCAACAATGAACAATTGGAGACCCAAGTTCTTTATAAACTTTCATTAAAATCTCAATTAAAAGGGAGCTCTGGTAGCCTAGTGGCAAGACGCTGCACTGCAATCCCAGAGGTATGTGGTTCAAATCCACCAGATGCTCTGCTGGAGAAGGAGGGGGCAATCTCCTCCTGTACCGGTCAGATCTGATTTGACGGTACACGTAAAAAACAATAACATAAAAATTTAAAAAATCTCAGTTAAAAAATAAAAAAGAAATACAAATGAAACTAATAAAACAAAAAAATAAATAAAAGTTGACTTTGTATTTCTCTCTCTCTCTGTCACACACACACACACACCCACACACACACACACACCCTAAAAACAAACATTTAAGCTACCAGAGCTCCATGAACTAAAAAAGCTGTTAATATGACATTATTCTTAGTATCTATAGTTCTTGTTGAATCTATGTATTGTTGGGTGCTTTCAAGTTAACTGTGACTTATAGGGACCTCATATACAACAGAAGAAAACTCTGTCTGATCTTGCACTATTTTCACAATCTCTACAGTGCTTAATCTCATTACTGCAGTTAATGTGTTATTCCATGCCATCAAGAATCTATATAGCACACATATTTCATTCAGTCAAATAAAAACAAACTCAAAATCATTAATATCAAGTTGGAATGGACTCAATAACTAATCCTCCAGTAGGTTTCTGAGACTACAGATCACATAAGAGGAGACTGCTCATCGTTCTTCCATGGAGCCACCGGTGGATTTGAACCAGAGGCTTTTAGGTCAGCAGCACCTCGGCCACAGTAGTTCAGTAAAAATGGTACAAAACTGAGAACAGACATTTAAGATTAAATTCTAGTTTCATCATTTGTTCTTGTTGTTATGTGCCGTTGAGTCGTTTGCGACTCATAGCGACCCTATGTACAACAGCCCTAAAACCCTGCTCTATCCTGTGCCAATCTCATTGCCTCTGACACACCCATCCCAATTACCCCAGTCACTGAATCAATCCACCTCATAAGAGGGTAATCCCCTCCTGCACTGTCCCTCTACCCTACCAAGCATGATGTTCTTCTCCAAGGACCTGTCTCTCCTCACAACATGTCCAAAGTATGTCAGGCGAAGCCCCTGAATCCTTGCTTCCAAGGAGCAGCCTGGTTTAACCCTCTCTAGGATTAGAGAGTTGGACAATGACTAGGGAGGATGGAAGGAGAATTGACACCTTTGAGCTGTGGTGCTGGAGAAGAGTATTGAATGTACCATGGACTGCCAAGAAAACAAACAGATTCATCCTAGAGAGGGTTTCATCATTTATAAGTTGCATTAGTCACCACACTTTATTTTGCTTAACATAAAATATCTATGTCAGTAATTGTAGAGGGGCTTCAGGCCTTTTGTTCACAGGGTTGCTATGAGTCATGCTCGACTTGAAGGCAATCAATAACAATCTATTACCATGGCAAACAAAGAGATGATCCCAGATTGAACCATACATAATTGTCAATATGTGTACACTTTTTAACCCATAAACATTCCATTTCAAATAGTCTATACCCTGTTCAAGAAGTTCTCTAAAGTACTAAAGAGCAAAGATATCAGCTTAAAGACTTAGGTGGGCTGTTCTACGCCATAGTATTTTAATTTGCTTCATATTCATCTGAAAAGTGGGCAATGACTATAAATAACAGAAGAATTATTGATTCCATAGAACTGTGGTGTTGGCAAGAGTACTGAATAACCCAGAGACTGCCACAAACCAAAAAAGACTTTTCCATGAAGAGAAACCAGGATGCTCTTTAGAGGCAAAAATGGTGAGGTTTTGTCTCACCTGCTGTGGGCATGTTGCCAAGAAGGGGTCAGTTCTTGGAAAAAAGACATCTGCTGGGACAGGGAGAGAATCCGTGAATCCAGAAAGACCCTCAACCAGGTGGACTGACACAGTGACTATAGCAGTGGGATCAAGAATGTAAATGATCTCAAGGATGGCATAAAGAAGTGTGAAGATCCAATCTGTTTGCAGGATCTTTATGAGTTATAGTTGATGTAAATGCACTAACAATACACTGTGGTCAGGTTACACCTGGAAAATGACTACAAAATAAAATCTATATTTAGTTTCATAGGATTAGATAGGAAGTGAATTAATGAAAAATAGGAAAGAGATCATTTACAAATTAAAAGAGTCAGTTATATTTATGAAATAATTAGAATATAGATTTTTCTTTTTTTATTCTTCTTTATACTTCTTGGAACTTTCTCCTTTATTTTTCATATTTCAAATTTCTAATACCTTTCATGTATTTCAATCTGTACATTTTCCTATGATATTTCTTCTTCTTCTTCTCCACCTGACGATTAAAATATATATTTCCTAAGATCAAAAAAACCCTTTTTTCTATTTAATGCAAATTGAGAGCTTTTAAAATATTTGAACCTTTGTGTTTGAAATCTTATAATAGCTATGTTGATATCATTAGATGATATGAAAGTTTTCTTTTCTTGTATTGTTGCTGTTATGTGCTGTTGAGTCACTTGCGATGCACAGTGACCCTATATGTACAAGAGCCCTAATCCCTGATCTATCCTGTGCCAACCTCATTTTCTCTGACACATCAACTCCCACTACCCTAATCACTGAATCAATCCATCTCATTGAGGATCTTCCTCTCCTGCAGTGTCCCTCCACCCTCCCAAACATGGTGTCCCTCTCCAAGGACTGGTCCCTCTTTGCAATGTGCCCAAAGTACATCAAACAAAGCTTCAGAACCCTTGACCCTAAGGAGCAGCTTGGCTTCAACCTCTTCAGGACAAACCTCTTTGTTCTCCTAACAGTCCATGTTATATTCAACACTCTTCTCCAGCACCACAGCTCAACAGCATCAATTCTATCATTCCTAGTCACTGTTCAGCAGTCTGATGAATAGCACAGAATTACTAGACTAGAGCCCTGATCAGGCACACTTTAGTCTCCAATCTGATGTCGTTGCTCTTCAGTACTCTGGATAGATCCCTGACAGCTGATTTTCCCAATGTAATTCATCTCTTGATTTCTTGGCTGCTGGTACCAAGAGTACTTACTGACTGTGGAGCCAAGCAAACTAACACTGTTAGCTGTCTCAATCTCTTCACCATCCATACTGATGCTGCTAATTGGCACAATGGTGAGAATCTTTGATTTCTTGGTGTTGAGCTTCAATCCATATTGAAGGTTTCAGTATTTGACTTTCTGCAGCAAGCTCTTCAGAGCCTCCTCATTTCCAGCAAGCAGGGTGGAGTAATCTACATAACGCTGGCTGTTGATGACTCTTCCACCAATCCAGAAAATTTAAACTCTTTTTAAATTAAAGTTGTTAATGTTTTATCTGTCCTTGTAATAGATTAGTGGGCCCAGCAGCAGAACAGCAAGAGCCTTGAGAGAAAAGGACGATGTAAGACTGGGTAGAAGTAGCTGTGCATAGCATGACGACACATCTGACCTCATGGGAATAAATTTTA